CAGGGCGGGGACGCAGACAGAGGGACCTCCGCAGCCGAGCGTGGCGGGTACCCATGGGGGTGGGTGATGCCGCGGAGGGCGGGCACGGGACGAGAGGTGACAGCGAGGGGTGGCTGCCCCCCAGGAAAGGTAGTGACAGTAGGGATTCCCACGGGGGCGTCCACGAGGGGGTGGGGCTGCGGGCGGCACCATGGGAGGAAGGGAGAAAAGGCGATATGGCAGCGAGGGGGTGGAGGAGGGTGGGCGCCCACTGAGGAGGGGGGTAAGGCCAGAGGGCAACTGGGAGGTGGCAGCAGGGCGGACACAGAGGGAAGTAAGGGCAGAGGGAGAATGCCAGCCCACCTAGGAAAGCAGATGCCGGCAGTCTGGGTGCAAACCCTCCAGGGGTCCCTGACCTCTGGTGCCCCATGACTCAGCCCCACAGTGGCTCCAGCCAGCACCAAAAGCAACACCAATTTCTCCTGACAGGGGCTGAAGGGTCTTTGCTCTTTGATACAGATCCACATGTTGCAGATCCACATGTTAAGATAAAAGGCTGGTGGCACAGGTACCCAAAACAGAAATTTCAAAAGCCAATGAACTGAAGTAGAAGGAAGACCCTGTTCTTGCTCCGAAATGCAGTGTCTATTTACAAATTCGGTGGCAACCCTGCCCGAACCAGAATGTGCGGCTGGTCAGGGCAAATGCCAGCTATTCCACCCATGCAGTGATGGGCAAGTCCCGCCCCCATAGAGAGAGCAGTAATTGCCAGGGAGATTTCTCCCTGGAAACAGCCTGTCAAACACTCCTGCAGGGTTGGGGCGAGTCCCTTCATGTGCACAATAAAAGTCACAAACACACTCTTCAGCAAGACATGTGGTTTTCTCACTATGTGTAGGTGTACCCAGGATGCATCCACAATGTCAAACAAGCATCTTAGTCCTGCTTAGGTTTTTCGGTGATAAACTGCAGGTCACTTCAACCGCCTATTACTGAATTCCTACTAGAGCAAGCTCTAAGTGACTGCCCTCAGGTAGGAGTTCACCCCAGGAAGACCAGGACACCACTTCATGCGCAGAAATGGGGCTGAATCAATACCAGGACATCCAGACACCAGATCCCCAAATCCCATTAAAAGAGGCTTCTTTGTGAACTGTCTTTTGGTGTTTGTTAAAAAGCAGCTTCCGGAAGGCTGAGGCGGAAGGATCGCCGGAGCCCAGCAGGTCGAGGCTGCGGTGGCCGGGAGCGGCCACTGCACTCCAGTCTGGGCGACAGAGTGAGACTCCAACTCAAAAAAAAAAAAAAAAAAAAGCAGCTTCCTTTCTTTTAGGTTAAAAAAAACACCCGTGCAAACTGCCAATCAGTCCCCACACTCCACGCTGGGATGGGGTCAGACAAACTGGGTTACTGGTCTTCACACTCCATGGATCCCACACCAGGGTCAGGCAGCAGGGGCCCCACTTACGCAGGACCCCAGATCTGGACAAGTGGGAAGTGGAAGCAAAATCGGTTTGAATCACACAAGCAAGGGTTACCCCTAAAACATACACTATCCCCTCTGAACTGGCCCACTAATAGGAAATTAGAGGTTGAGCTCAGACCTAAACTAGAAAAACACCTTCAAAAGGCCCATTTGCAGAAAACAGTAGCTCAAAAAGCAATTAAATGATGCACTTTTAGAACTGCATAGAGGCCAGGTGCGGTGACTCATACGTGTAATCCCAGCACTTTACGAGACTGAGTGAGGCAGGAGGGTTGCTTGAGCCCTGGAGTTCAAGACCAGCCTGGGAAACAGAGCGAGACCCTCCCATCTCTACAAAAAAATCAAAAAAAATTAGCAAGGTGTGGTGTTACACACCTGTACTTCCAGCTATTTGAGAGGCTGAGGCAGGAGGATCGCCTGAATCCAGGAGGTCGAGGATGTGGTGAGCCATCATTGTGCCACTGCACTCCAGCCTGGGCAACAGAGTGAAATCCCAACTCAAAAGAAAAGTTGCACGGAAGTAGTACCAAACCAAAATGGGCAACACTATTCCATGTTTGGGCATCAAACTGCCTTCACGACACTATTTACCTATCTAGCAGCAACTAATAACCTGCCAGTAACTGTAACGTCATCACCATCGATCAGAAAAGTTCACTCCCTGGCCTAACTGTTGAAAAATAGAGGAAAACAGATTGCATGTGGATCTCTGTGAGACCCGGGTCAAAGCAGTCTTCAACGGAAGGGTCCCTGGAGATCAGGGGACAGGGCCTTCAAAACCACAACTGCCACCTCAGCTCAAGAGAGGAAAGGGCCACCCTCTGCCCTCCCTGAGCAGCCCATAGGAAGAAAGCAGAGCCCTTCTGACACCACTTTCTGCCCGACATGTGAATATAGTCTTTCCCATTTAACATATTTCAAATAAAGACATCTGTTCATAACACTATTAGGAAACTTGTAAAAAAAAAAAAAAAAAAAACAGACAAAACAAAACCTTGATTTCTTTTCTTTTTTTTTTTTTTTTGAGTTGGAGTCTCACTTTGTCACCCAGACTGGAGTGCAGTGGCCGGGAGTGCAGTGGCCGCTCCCGGCCACCGCAGCCTCGACCTGCTGGGCTCCGGCGATCCTTCCGCCTCAGCCTTCCGAGTAGCCGGAATTACAGGCGCATGCTACCACGCCCGGCTGATTTTTTGATTTATTGTAGAGATGAGATCTCGCCTGCCCAGGTGGGTCTCAAACCCGCGGGCTCAGGCAATCCAGTCACCTCAGCCTCCCAAAGGCGCGGGATTACAGGCTGAACCACCGAGCCTGGCTGATTTCTTAAACTTTAAAGTGCCACATAAATGACAGTCTGCAAATGAAATAACTCTCCTATTTTTTTAAGTAAATATGTAAATATCAAGAAAGGAAACATTCCAGATATATTCTTCAGTGTGGAGAAACACTCTAAAAATCTCTGGTACTGGAAAGCCACCGACCAGGACTAAACGGTGCTAAATCCAAGAGCTGTACTTTGGGAAATGTGGAGAGAACTCTGCTGAAATCAAAGGTGGGAAGTGGAAGCAAAATCGCTTTGGATTACATAAGAGTTACCTCTAAAACACACACTATCCCCTCCAAACTAGCCTCCTAATAGGAAAATGCCCCCCATCACTGGTCACTGGAAAGCTTCAGAGTAAAAACGCCATCCCTCCCCACAGGGGTAGGTGTGGAAAAGAAGTGGGGAGTCAGTGCTCACCTGGGAAGTCAAGGCCATGTCCAGGGGGATGGCTGTCGAGTGCCCACCCGGGGCATCAAGGCCAAGGCAGGGAAGTCAAGGCCACATTCAGGGGGGTGTCCAGCTAGTGCCCACCCGGAGAGTCAAGGCCACAGCTGGAGGCGGCCAGCAAGTGCCCACCCAGGGAGTCAAGGCCACATCCATGGGGAACAGCCAGTGAGTGCCCATGCAGGGAGTCAAGGCCATGTTCATGGGGACAGCAAATGCCAACCCAGAGAGTCAAGGCCATGTCCGGGGGGTGGCCAGCAAGTATCCATCTGGGTAGTTAAGGCCATGTCCAGAGGACCAATAAGTGCCCACCTGGGGAGTTAAGGCCACATACAAGGGGTGGCCAGAGAGTGCCTACCTGGGGAGTCAAGGCCACATCCAGGGGGTGGCCAGTGGGTGCCCACCTGGGGAGTCAAGGCCATGTCCAGGGGGATGGCTGGCAAGTTGCCCACCTGGAGAGTCAAGGTCACATCCAGGAGGATGGCTTGCAAGTGCCCACCCGGGGAGTCAAAGCCATGTCTGGGGAGTCAAGGTTGTGTCCAGGGGGACGGCTGGCAAGTGCCCACCTAGGGAGTCAAGGCCACATCCAGGAGAATGGCCTGCAAGTACCCACCCAGGGAGTCATGGTCACATCTGGGGGGACAGCCAGCGAGTGCCCACCTGAGGAGTCAAGGCCATGTCCGGGGGGACAGCCTTCGAGTGCCTACCCGGGGATTCCAAGTCACATTTCAGGGGGGGTTGGCCGGTGAGTGCCCACCTGGAGAGTCAAGGCCATGTCCAGGGAATAGCTGGCAAATGCCCACCCTGTGGAGTCAAGGCCACGTCCAGGGAGATGGTCGGCAAGTGCCCACCTGGGGAGTCAAGGCTATATCCAGCAGGGCAGCTGGCAAGTACCTGGGAAGTCAAGACCACATCCAGGAGGCAGTCAGCGAGTACCCACCCAGGAAGTCAAGGCCATGACTAGGGTGTGACCAGTGAGTGCCCACCTGGGGAGTCAAGGCCACGTCTGGGGGGGGGTGACCAGCAAGTACTCACCCGGGGAGTCAAGGCCACATTCAGGGGGACAGTCAGCAAGTGCCCACACAGGGAGTCAGGGCCTCATTCAAGGGGTCGGCAGGTGACTGGCCACCAGGGAGTCAAGGCCACGTCCAGAGGGGTATGGGAAAGTGCCCACCTGAGGAGTCAAGGCCAAGCCCAGGGCAGCCAGCAAGTGCCCACCTGGAGAGTCAAGGCCATGTCCAGGTGGACTGCTAGCAGGTGCCCGCTCAGGGATGCAAGGCCTTGTCTGGAGGAGTACTGGCAAGTGCCTATCCACTGGCCATGTTGCCTCCTGTCGCCACTTACTCGTCGCCGTCGGGACAAACGCCGGTGGCCTCGTCGTACTTGGAGCAGTACACATCTGGGCTGTAGTTGAAAGTGCCATCGCGCCTGCGGAGGGGTCTGCGGCGACGCTGATTTAGGAAATGCCAATGGAAACAGGTAAATGGCCTGTGCTGGGCGCACTTGTGCTGCAAAAACAGGGTGCACTGCTCTGTCCTAAACTCCTTTAGATACCTAAAAAAACAAACAGCGTTGGGGTCGCCTCTGCAGCAGCCGCTGCCATCAGGCTGCCTGGGGGCTTGGGGCAGGACCCCCCGGCCAGGGTACCCAGACCCCAGGCGCAACCCTCACTTCAATTCCAGAGGGACCCCAGGCACGACGCCCTGACACGAGGTGCAACCACCGGTACAGTCTCAGAGCCCAGGCCCTGAACCCAAGCCCAAGACCAGGGACCACCCCAGGGCCAGTGCTCTGACCTCAGGCGGCAGCAGCCCGCGTCCAGATGGTCAGCGGTGACCCCACCCTGAGCCCAGGTGGGAATCCCTAACCCCGAGTCCAGGTGTGAACACCTGACCCTGAGCCCAGGCGCAGACCCCTGACCCCAATCTCAGGCACTGTTCCCCGACCCCCACTAGCATAGACCCGGTAGCCCAAGCGCCTCCCCAGACCCCGGGCCAGTGCTCGACCTCAGGCGGCGGCAGCCCCAGTCCAGATGGTCAGTCATGAGCCCACCCGGAGCCCAGGCGGACCCCTAGCCCTAGCCCCAGGCACTGGCACCAGATGCCCACCAGTGTAGACCCCAGAACCCAAGCGCAACCTCAGACCCTAGGACCCGTGCTTCGACCTCAGGCGGCGGCAGCCCGAGTCCAGATGGTCCGAGCCGCCCAGAGCCCAGGAGAGGTCCCTGGATCCCAACCCCAGGCGCTGTTCCCCGACCCCGACCAGAAGCACGTGGACCCCCAAGCCCAAGCGCCACCCCAGACCCAGGCGCC